AGGAATGAGCCTAGGCTCAGCTTGCCAGACCCCAGCCCAGGGCAGCAGGTGCCTCTAGGGTGACACCTAGGCCACCTTGGGGAAGGGGTCCTTGTCATAGCATCTGGGAAGGTGGGGGCAGGGATGGCATGTTGAGTGGTCCCACTCACCGCCAGGGGCAGCAGTGTGGCCACACGGTCAGGAGTGCTGCCCAGCAGAAAGGACCGGCTCTCCTTGAAGGGGACGTCTCGGTTCATCTTCTCCAAGAGCAGCTCTAGGACCTGGGCAGTGAGGCCAGGCTCCACAGCCAGTGCTTGCCACAGGGTGCAGGTGTGGCTGGAGCAAGGTGGACTGAGTGTCACCTGGAGGCCATTGCTGGCCATGGGCTGGTCCCCGCCCACTGCTCCTGGACATTCAGGCATGCCTGCCAGACATAGCCCTGTCCTGGCCACACAGCTCAACTGACCCTGGGGTTTGGAAACAGCTGGTGACAGAGGTTAGAAAGAGAACCTGGGCCTGAGCACAAAGTAAGACTCACTTCCCTGGATGAGACAGCATCTGCCCCAAGCCTAAGGGGCAGTCCAGAGTAAGGAGAGGCAGGCACAGCAGGAAGTCGGCAACACGCAGGGCCACCTGGATGATATAGTGCTGACATGCTGTAAGCCAGCTGTGCTTAGTGTTCACAGAGATAAGTGACAAACTTCAAGATATCGGACAAGAACCGGAAATTCTAATAGCAAACTTCTAAGAAAACTAAATAGACCTTTTAGAAGTAAGACATGTAACACATTCTGTGGAAACACTCAGTGCCAGCCTAGACACAGTAGAAGAGAGGAAGAGTGAAGTAGAAGATGAATAAATGGAATTACCCAGAGCCTGGCACAGAGAAAAGAACAGGTGAAGTGCAAAAGACAACAAGAGATGTGGAGAATGGAAGGAAAAGGTTTAACGTACATTCATTTGGTGTCCCAGAAGCAGAGGAAAGAGAGAATATCTGAAAAGGGAAAAAATATAAGAGTTTTCCAGCACTGATAAGATACTAGTCAAGGAGCCCAGGGATATACTACCTACCAGAATAAAAAGAAATCCCCAGTGGGGCCAGCAGTTGGTGTGTTGGCTCAGGCACTAGACTCCCACCTGGCTGACCACAATTGCATTCTGGATTGACAGCCTGAGAATCATGCCAGGCATGTGTGCAAGCATCCCCAAAGTCCCAGGAGGAGAAGAGATTGTGGCGTAGCCATCCTCCCTAGGGAGGTAATTTCTCACTTTTCCTTTCTCTGTCTCTCTCCCACGAGCACACATGCCCTATGACAAAAACAAAACAAAAAAAAATTTTTCCCCCACTGGCAAAGTGTAGAGCACCAGGGACAAGGAAGAAGCAGTTTCCTTCACTGACATTGTACTAGCTAGGCTCGCACTGGCATCTTGAGAACAGCAATGAGGACAGTGATCTGTTCTTGCACACCCAGAGGAGATGCCTGCTGCGTATGAGTTAAGAACGCTGCAGAAATAACTGAGAGAGCCTGGTAAAGACGCTTTCAGATGAACAGAAGTGCAGTTTGTCACTAACTGACCCTCAGGAAAGATGTTCTGGAAGGCAAACTTGAGGTAACGGGTGACGCAAACTGGAGGTGCCGGAAAGCGGAGCAGGAGACCTGGCGTGTGGGCGAATGCACACACCCACCAGGACAGCAAGCACACACCAAAGCTCGTGTGGCTGTGGTGGCCAGCGCCATGGCACTGGGGGAGAGGGGCATGCTGGTTCAGCCGCTCCAGCCAGCTGTGGGCAGAGCAAGCCTGCCATGCCCGAACAGGCCCAGGCGGTCAGCAGCTGAGGCTGTGGGCCGCATGGCTCACCTGACTGAATGTGACTCACTGTGTTCGTGTCACATAATATTCTTCCTTGGGTCTTTGCCCAACAAATTTGTGAACAGAAAACGTACTTAGTCCACAGGGCTCCTGAAACAGGAAGCAGCCCAGACCGGGCCAGGGCCACGGTTTGCTGCCCTTTCACCTACAGCAGTTCCACATGCACGTGAGGGCCTCCAAAAGCTCATGAAAAGGGCATCACAGAGCATGTCACAGATCTGAGTCTCCTGCGTGCAAGAACAGGCTTGCACTTTCATTTCATGTTCCACAAGCTTTTTTTAAAAAATAATTATTTATTTTATTTATTTATTCATTCATTTTTTAAAATTTTACCAGAGAGAGACAGAGGTTGAGAATGAGAGAGGACGCGAGAAAGCAAGCCACCAGATTCAGGACTCGAACCCTGGTCGGCCATGTGGGAGTGTCCAGCGCCTTAACCAGCATGCCACCTGCTGGTCCCCTACACAAGCTTTTTTTAAAAAAAGAAATATTAATTTAATTTCAGTTATTATGAATTATTTTGGAGAGGTTTTTTGCTATAGGGCGTGTGTGTTCGCCAGAAAGACAAGAGAAAAAGCGAGACAGACAGCGAGAAATTACCCCTTGGGGGTGGGGGAGGATGTCCACGCTGCAATCCTTTCTCCTCTTGGGATCTTGGGCATGCACGCACACGTGCCTGGCGTGAGTTTAAGCCACCAGATCCAGGACTCGAACTGTGGTCAACTACATGGGAGTCCAGCGACATAGCCATTACGCCAACCGCTGGTCCCCTTATTATTTTTTAAATTGACCAGAAAGAGACAAAGAGGGAAAGTGAGAAAGGAAGCCACCAGGTCCAGGACTCAAACTGCAGTCCACTATGTGGGAGTCTAGCACCCTAACCACCATGCCACCTGCTGGCCCCTTGCATGAGCTTTTTGAAGCCCTTTGTATCTCGGGTATGAAGGGAAAATGAGGATACCTGCCAGAAGACACGGAGGCTCAGCACCAGCTGGAGTGGCACGCTGGGGCTGCTACTCAGCAGGCGCAGACGCACAGGAGACCATGCGTGGCGCCTGCTGCCCTAGACCAGCTCAGTGCTGCACGCCTGCAGGAGTCTTCAGAAAGTCCAGAGAAGATGTACATCATGAAAAGCTATGTATGCATTCTGATCCTCATTTTTTGCAGCAAAATAAACTCATGTTCTCATTCCACATCTCCATGGACTTTGTGAAGGCCCCTTGTGGCCCTAGCTACTCGGTAGGCCCCCCCAAAAAACACCTTGCCCCCGTCCCGTGTGCCCGCTCGCGTACTCTCACAAAAGCAGCAGTGTAAGCCTTCCAAACGACCTGAGGGAAAAAGATGCAGGAGGGACTTAGGCAACTCAGGAAGAAAAGACAGGATTCCAATAAACTCCAGGTCAGGTGAGAGAAGACAAAAACCAAGGCAGTGGACTTAGACCACGTCAGCCCCCCTTTACGGCACGAGGAGCACAGTACCCAGACACAGGTGCAGCCAGGTCAGTGACAGGACAGAGGGTACCCACCGGCCATGCCAGCAGGCAAGAGGCACCCCAGCCAGGAGACGCACTGCCTTGAAACCACGAGGGCTGCACGGCAAGACACCCTATTGTCACAGAGGCACGTCCCCGAGGAGATGGCCATGTGCCTGGCTGGCCTCGAGCACCCAGGAATGAGCTGTGAGAGCTGAGGGCAGGTTGGGCCTAAGCACCCGCTGTTGCCCAGGTTCCCACCCAAGGAGAGGCCATGCCTCCTCACCCAGCAGGTCACAGTGCCCCTGGCCAGTCTGGCTGGGATGGCACAGGAAGGCAGGCCCAGCAAGCTGTGCTCCAGAGGCCTTGGCAACAAGGGCAGGAGCACCCTTTGTGAGGGGCTGGCAGTGCGAGCAGAGACAGCACGTGCAGTGAGCAGACGGGGCCGGGTTGCAAAGGGGCCTGAGAGGGTAAGCCCTGGAACGCAGGGCGAAGACCACAGACCCAGGCGCAGCCGGGGCAGCCTCGGCATCCACTGACTGCGGGCTGTGCCGACTGGTCAGGCAGCTCTGGACCCATAGTACGATGTCCAGAGAGGGGAAGCCCATGGATGCCAGGGAACCAGGGCCGTCCCTGGGCGACGCCCACCACACGTGGCCCGGAGGTGGGAACGCTCCATGCAGAAACTAGGGAGGTGGGGCAGGCAGGGTGCAGGGGCCCCAAGTCTGCTGGCAGGGCTGGCTGAGACTCACAGTGCAGTGGCCCAAGGCCCTGTTTTCCCGCAGGCTTGTGGCACGGGATACCTGTCGAAGGGCAAGGGACTGCCCAGCAGGCTGGACACGACGGCCGCACAGTGATGGGATGCCAGGAGGTACGCGCTGTGCCGGGCCGCCGGCAGGACGCACTCCTCGTGGGCCTCCTGCAGCTTGGAGCGCAGCACGCTGACGATCTCGGGCACCTGCAGGGCCGGGTGTCAGCTCAGGTGGGGCCCCCCTGCCCCGCCCATCGGCCA